AGATGCCCACGTGTTCCCCGAAGGCTTTCCAAACCGAGTCGGGGAACACATGATCCGATAGCTTGGCAGGTCTGGCCTCAACGTTCGGCCACACAGGCACTTCCAAAAAGGCAGGGGGCGGCGGTGATTCGCCGTAGGCGTCTTCGATCCGCCGCCCCCTGTCGATTAATCGCAGGGGTGCCTGGCGTGCTAGACCCTCTCGGTTTGGGTTCGTGTTTCAAAAGAACTCCCCCTGGGGCTTCGGCCCGTCCCGCCGGGGCCCCAGGAGGGAACTCCAGGACCGCAAACGACATCGACGTCCACAAAAACAAATCCAAGACGATGGCCTCCAAGACGGCCAAGATGGCAGTCAAGCTCGCCCAAGATGGTCCAAGATGGCCTCCAAGTCCGCCCAAGATGGCCCAAGATGATCTCCAAGTCGGCCCAAGAGGGTCCAAGATACCTCCAAGTTCACCCAAGAAGCCTCCAAAACGGCCCAAGACTGCCCAAGAGGTCTCGAAGAGGTCCTTCAGGAGGGCCCGAAGAGCCAGAATCTGTGATGTTCCTTAGGTTGTTGAAGGATTCTGGCATTTGCCTCTTCTCGGCATTCCGACTCCTCAAGACGGCCCAAGAGGCCGCCAAGATCGCCCCAAAATCGCCCCCGAGGCCTCCAAGAGGGCCCCATGACGGCCCAAGAGGCCTCCAAGACGGCCCCAAGAGGGCCCCAAGACGGCCCAAGAGGTCTCCAAGACGCCCAGGATGGTTTCCAAGTCGGCCCCGAAGCGCCCCAAGAGGGCCCGAAATCGGCCCAGATAGTCCCCCAACTCCAAGAGGGCCTCCAGGAAGGCCAGAAGAGGCCAAACACATGTACTTGCCATAGGTTTTTGAAGGACTTTGACATGTGCTTCTTGTTGGCCTTCCGACGGCCCGAGACTGCCCAAGAGCCCCCAAAGATCGCCCAAAGATCGCCCAAGAGGCTTCCAAGATGGCTCCAGAACGGCCCAAGAGGCCCCAAAGACGGCCCCAAGAGGCCCCCAAGACGGCCCAGGAGGCCTTTAAGACACCCAAGATGGCCTCCAAGACGGCCCTGGAGCATTCCAAGAGAACCCCAAGTCGGCCCAGAGAGGCTCCCCTTCCGACGGCGTCGGACGGACCAGGAGCCCACCAAGACGGCCGAAGATGGTCCTAAGATGGCCCAAGACGGCCCAAGAGGCCTCTAAGAGGGCCTCCAGGAAGGTCCGGAAAGGCCAGAAGCATTGATTTCCCATGAGTTGTTGTTAAAGGATTGTGGCATTTGCTGTTTGGTCGGCCCTCCGACGGCCCGAGGCGGCCCAAGTGCCCCCAAAGATCGTACAATAGGCCCAAGACGGCCCCAAGAGGCCCCCAAGACGGCCCAAGAGACCTCCCAGGCGCTCAAGATGGCCTCCAAGACGGCCCAAGAGCTCTCCAAGACGTCCTCCAAGAAGGCCCGAAAGTGTCAAAATGGCCTCCCGACGGCCAAGATGACCTTCAAGATGCCCACGTGTTCCCCGAAGGCTTTCCAAACCGAGTCGGGGAACACATGATCCGATAGCTTGGCAGGTCTGGCCTCAACGTTCGGCCACATAGGCGCTTCCAAAAAGGCAGGGGGCGGCGGTGATTCGCCGTAGGCGTCTTCGATCCGCCGCCCCCTGTCGATTCATCGCAGGGGTGCATGGTGTGCTAGACCCTCTCGGTTTTGGTTTTGGTTCGTTTCCCACCAGAACTCCCCCTGGGGCTTCGGCCGGTCCGCGGGGCCCCGGGAGGGACCTCAATTGCACGAAGTCGTGCTTCAAAAACGGCAGCTTCGCTTGGGACATCCTCAAAAAATCGCGCTCTAGAGGATTCCAGCCTAAGCTGTCGTATGGTAAAAATCAGCGTGTCGCTCGAGACATCCTCAGAAATTTGGGATCGGGACCTCGATGGCCTCGTCTTCTGTTCAAAAGAGGCCGTTTCGCTAGCGACATCCTCAAAACATTGAATGATATATATATATATATATATATATATATATATATGTATATACACATATACATATATATGTATCATGTGTTCTAAGATTATAACTGAGAGCTCTCGAATTACATCACAGATAGTCCGACAAGCCAGAATATTGAACAAACCTTGGTGTGTTTAACACGTGTGTTCGAAAATAAGCGTTTCGCTCGAGACATCCTGCCAAAGTTGCCTCTGGGAACCCTCTCCCAAGAGAGCCAAGGAGGCACCCATGAGGATTCCAAGAAGCCCCCTCCTCCTACTCTTCCTTGTCCTTTCCCGCTTCCGCTTCCTCTTCGTGTTCACTCTCCGCTTCGTGTTCCCCCAAGGCTTTCCAAACCGACTCGGGGAACATGTGGTCCGATAGCTTGGCCAAGCTCTATCCCAACTTTCGGCCACGTAGGCGTCTCCCCGACAAAAACCTTGGGATAATGAATGAGTTTGGCCTCTTCGTGCTCTCCTGAAAGGCTTCTTGTACGCCTTTAGGGCCGTCTTGGATGCCTGTTGGGGACCTCCTGGGCCGTCTTGGGCCATCTTGAGGCCATCTTAGGCCGTGCTGGGTGAATATTGGGCCGTCTTGGAGGGAAACTGGGGCCAGCTTAGCCGTGTTGGTTGCTGATGATGATGGTTTTGATGATGATGATGATGATGATGATGATGATGATGATGATGATGATGATGATCATGATGATGAGCATGATGATGATGAGCATGATGATGATGATGATGATGATGATGATGATGATGATGATGATGATGATGATGATGATGAGTGGTGATTATGACTATGGTTATCATTCTTAGTATGATGACGATGATGGTGACGATGAGCATGCTGAGTCTGACGATGATGTTGATGCTGTGATGATAAGGATCCGGGTGGTAAAGTTCCTGCTGCTGCTGGCGTTGCTGGTCCAGCTGTTGCTGGTGCTTGTGGCACTGGTGCTGCTGGTGATGTTGCTGCTGCTGGTGGCGGTGCTGCTGCTGGCGGTGGTGCTGCTGCTGCTGGTTCTGGTGCTGCGGCTGCTGGCGCTGCTGGTGATGGTGCTTCCTCGGGGTCCTGTTGTCGCCCTTGTTTGCTCAAGTGGTTCGCGAAACGATCTGTCCGCAGACAGCTCGCGCGGACATATCGCCCCTGCTCGGAGGATCGGTGTGATGGGCCTGCCCGTGATCGGCCTTGCTCATTGGAAGTGTTCAGTGAGCGATCCGTCCGCAGACAGCTCGCGCGGACAGATAGCTCACGGAGTACTTCCAATGAGCAAGGCCACGCTTGCCCATCACACCGATCCTTTGAGCAGGGGCGATCTGTCCACGAACCATTGAACGATCGATTCGGGGAACGGCCAAGTTCGCCCCAGAAGCCTCCAAGACGTCCCAACACCACCCCATGGACCTCCAAGAGATCCTCCAGGAGGGCCCAAGACGAGGCCCAAAGACGCCCCCAGGAGTGCCCAAGACGGCACAAGAGGCGTCCCAGACGCTCAGGATGGTCTCCAAGACGGCCCCGAAGCGCCCCAAGAGAGCGCCAAGACGGCTCGGAGAGGGCCCCAAGACGTTCCGGCGGCGTCAGACGGACCAGGAACGCCCCCAGACGGCCAAAGAGGTCCCCAAGAAGCCCGCGAAAGCCCCCAGCAGGCCCAAGGAGGCCCCCCACAGGCCTCCAAGAGGCCTCCAGGAAGCTCCAAGCAGGCCCCAAGAGTGCCCCAAGAGGCTCCCAAGAAGCCTCCTCCTCCTAGTCTTCCTCTTCCTCTTCCTCTTATTCCTCTTCCTGTTCATTCTCCCCCGCGTGTCCCCCGAAGGCTTTCCAAACCGACTCGGGGAACTCATGTTCCGATAGCTTGGCCAAGCTCTAGCCCAACTTTCGACCACATAGGCGTTTCCAAAAAGGCAGGGGGCGGCGGAGATTCACCGTAGGCGTCTTCGATCCGCCGCCCCCTGTTGGCTTGCCACAAGGGTGCCCGGCATGCTAAATCCTACCGCTCTTGGTTTTGGCCCTCTTTCCAACTGAACTCTCCCCTGGGCCTTCGGCCCGTCCCGCCTGCCACCCGGAAGGCCGCACAAGGGAACACAGAGGCACCACAAAGGATATCAACATCCGGAAAAAATCCTCCAGGACGGCTCAAGAGGCCTCCAAGACAGCCCCAATGGCCCAAAATGGCCTCCAAGTTCGTCCAATACGGTCTAAGATAGCCTCCAAGACGGCTCAAAAGGGTCCGAGATGCCTCCAAGTCCGCCCAAGAAGCCTCCACAACGGTCCAAGAGGGCCCAAGAGGCCTCAAGAGGCGTCCGAGACGGTCCAAGAGGCCTCCGAGAGGACCTCCAGGAAGGCCCGAAGAGGCCCATCTTTTTGATATTCCTTTGGTTTTTGAAAGCTGATTCGGTTCGGCTTTCCGACGGCCCGAGACGGCCCAAGAGCCCCTAAAGTTCGCCCCAAGATCGCCCAAGAGGCCACCAAACTGGCCCAAGAACGACCCAAGAGGCCCCCAAGACCACGCCAGGAGGGCCCATAGACGGCACAAGAGGCCTCCAAGACAAGATGGCCTCCAAGACAGCCTTGGAGCACCCCAAGAGGGCCCCCAGGCGGCCCAGAGAGGCCCTAAGGCAAGCTTCCGACGGCGTCAGACGGGCAAGGAACCCACCAAGACAGCCCAAGATGGCTCTAAGATAGCCCTAGACGGCCCAAGAGGCCCCCGAGAGGTCTCCAAAACGGCCCCAAAGGCCTGCGAGAGGGCCTCCAGGAAGGCCCTCCCATTGGCCTTTTAAGGATTGTGGCATTTGCTTCTTCTGAGCCTTCCGACGGCCCGAGACGGCCCAAGAGCCCCGGAAGACCGCCCTAAAGGCCCCCCCTCGGGATTCGTGCCCTGCCTCGCATCCCTCTTCCCCTCCTCCTCCTGCCCCGTCCAATCCCCAGTTCACTCCGCCCTCCCCCCTCCCAGTCCCCCCACCCACACCGCGGCCGCCCGCACGACTCGGGGAGCGCGCGGGGAGCGGGGGCGGGCAGGGCGGACGAAATAGAGGGCATAGCCCCAGCCCTTCGCCCTCATGCCGGCGTACCTCGCGTGGGGGAGGGAGGGAGGGAGGGAGGGCGGGAGGGAAGGAGGAGGAAGGGGGGACTGGGGATGGCAAAGGGCAGAGGGTGGAGGGGGGAAGAAGAAAAGGGGCGGGGAGGAAGGAGGAGGGAGGAGGAAGAAGGAAGGCGGAAAGGACAGGAGTAAGGAAAAGGAAGTAGGAGGAGGCGGCGCGGAATCAACAGGTGCCTCTTGGAGAGCTCGCGATACTGGACCGCGACGTTCTCGGTTCCTTCGGTCAGTGCCACCTCTCCGCTACTGTCACGGCGAATATCTGAAATGCGGGGGGGGTCTGTCCGATGATCATGGCCCTCGGGCCAATACAACTACACAGAGAATCCGTCACCGCACTTCAGACGGAGAGCACACAGGACAAACTAGTCGCGCGCAGGGGGTCAACCACAAGCATTCAGTGACATGGAAATTTCAATGTACCGTTGTCCCTAAGCTTGGCCGGAAGGGTGGCATCTATAAATCAACTGTATCGACAACATGGATGCGAACATGTACAGACATGCAAGTATGTATACATTTACAAATTCGCCGGCCCAACGGGCCAGAGGCGTGCTAAGATCTCCGGTAACTTGTTAACAATCTTTCTAGTTCGCGCGCGCGGAGCGGCCCCTGGGGGCCCCCGGACGAAAAGTACCCCGGCAAGGTCCCGAGAGAAGCCCGGGAGAAGCCACCAGACCACTCCAGGGGAGGGTATTTTTCGACACCCCTCACGAGGATCGTGGCCTCCGAGGGGGGAGCCGCAATCGACTACCCCCAAGAGCCCCCCAAGAGGCCCTGGGGGCCTCCAAAACGCCGCCAAGGAGCCCCAAGAGACTCCCAAGAGGTCCCCAAGAGGCCCCCAAGAGGCCCTAAAGAGGGCTCCAGGGCCGGCGGCATGAGCGAAGCGATTAAATAAACACACATAACATTACATGACATGTCGTATACGTCTAGATAAACACGCATGGGTAGACGAGCCCATACAACATGCAATGCCCGTGTATGTGCATGTGTATGTATGTGTGTATGCAGGTGGTTGTATGCATGTATGTATATATATAAATATGTATATGTATATTGATACGCACCACTAGGCCTCTCTACACGGGCGACCAGAGCAGACGTGGGCAGAAGGACCATGCAGTGCGCGAAGCGCGACAGATAACTCTTTAGCCAGAGGGTTCCACTCAAGAACGTCGCTTCTGCTGTGGAGTCGCCACAGTACAAGAGAAAAGCCTGAATTATCGAGATAATCACCTCATCCCAGGGAGGGAGGGAGGGAAACTACAGAGCCAAAAAGGATTATGGAAACGACATCCTGTCGAGCGGTCGCCCTCGAGAACACAGCAAGAGATGTCAGGGACAGAACATTGCTACGCATCAGTAGGCCTCTCTACACGGGCGACCAGAGCAGACGTGGGCAGAAGGGCCATGCAGTGCGCGAAACGCGACAGATAACTCTTTAGCCAGAGGGTTCCACTCAAGAACGTCGCTTCTGCTGTGGAGTCGCCACAGCACAAGAGAAAAACTTGAATTATCGAGATAATCACCTCATCCCGTACCCCGTAAAACGGACTGTTAGGGCAGGGTGGGTGGGAAATTATGAACATATTCTGCAGCCTTCGAAGGGCTGCGGGCACAGAGCGAAGCTGGGAGGACGTCATTTTTGCAATATGGGGCGTGAGTGTGCCATGCTTCTCATAGCGCCGCACGCTGGAGGCCGAGCGCCAGAGGCCTCTCTTCTGGATGGCCTCAAGAGGGCGCAGCTTGAGAGCTGCGTCGGCGCTCGGGCCTCCGCGTCGGGCACAGCGCGGCGTGACCCTGAGGGAGCTCAGCTTTACGTCGGACACGGCTTGGTTAAAGAGCTGCTCGTACTTTGCGAGGCTGATGTCGAACATTGGCCTGCCGCGGCGGGCCTTCCTCGAGGCCCAGAGCAGGGCGTCGCGGCAGATGCCCCTGTTGGCCTTGAGGCTGGCCTGGTCGCCGAAGACGATGGCGCAGTCGCGGCCCCCCGACTTGGTCGATGGGGCGGGCTGCTGGCCGCGGTCGTCGGCCTGAGGCGCGATCGTGACCACGAGGCTGGGGTAGCTGGGATTGGATCCCGCCTGGCGCTGGCTCACCTCGCGGCTCGTGATGGCCAGGGTGTTGCTCGGCCTGATGTACCCGTCGAAGCTGATGAGCAGGGCCCCAGCGGCGGCGACCCCCTCGCGGTCTCTCTCGGCGAGGTTGTCGGCGATCAGCACCGCCGCCTCCCAGGGCAGCGGATCTCTGACGCGGTCGGGCCCTGCCTTCAACCATCCGGCCAGGGCGTCCTTGGCACGGTGCATGGTGGTAGGCGATCGTCGCGGGTAGTCCTTCGCGAAGATCGCCCCGTGGACGGCGTCCCTGGAGTGGACGATGCTGAGCCCTTGGAAGTACATGTGGTCGAGGTACCTCGTCATGGCCAGGTCTGTCTCGCCCATGGACACCTGGCGGAGGTGCTGCTCGGCCGCCCACTGGCTGAACTTGCGGTGGGCCTCGCAGCGCAAGGCGACGGTGCGGGGCTGGACACGCTGGTGCTTGAGGTAGGGCCTGTCCGCGCCGATCGCCCGCTCCTGCCGGCGAACCCCGACGCTCTCCGCTGCGTGCGCCGCGGCCCGGCGCCTGCCCGCCAGCGGCGGCGGACTTGGACCGGGCGGCGCCCCACTGCGGCGCCGAGGCGGGCCACTCGGGCGGCGACCCCGAAGGGCAGGAGGGTTGCGACCGCTGGGGCTGGGCGCCCCCGCCTGGGAAGTTGGCCGCCAGCTCAGTTTCCCAGTGGTCGCCGAGCGGGTCACCGGCATGAGCACAGCGTGCAGCGCGGGGAGCACAGGCCGCGAGGAGGCGAGCCCATCTGCGGCAGAGCTCAGGTGGGCAGGCCCCCGCAAGGCTGGTCTTCCAATGGCTGCGGATGGCCCCGGAGGGTGACGCGAGGGATACCTTGCCCTGGAGGATCTCGTGGCTGCGGTTCCCTGGGCAGAGGCGCTCGAGAGATGTGACCTCTGGGGGGCTTGACACGAGGTACGTAGGCTCCTTACAAGCGCAGCCGTACTGGCAGTAGTGGAGGAGGGCCCAGTTGCCACCTGAGGTCATGAGGAAGTCCGTGAGGGGGTCCCAATTGAAGAGCTTGGACCCGGCCGGGTTCTCCAGAGACCAGTGCATGCCGTACTGATGGCATAGCCGTAACAGCCGTACGGTAGCACGAGCAGCTCGAAGCCCTTGATGCTGATGAGAGTCCCGATGGGACCCAGTGGCGAGTGACCAGAAAGTGCACGGAGTACCGAAATGAATGTACCAGAGTTTCTTGAGGCGAATCCAACGTGATAAAGTACGAAAGACAGAATAATGATGATGGACGTCGAAATGCTTACCATTTCCAATCTCGAAGTGTAGTGCAGTGCAAACGAATGTCTCTGACGGCTGCCGTCAGCCTGCCGGTGCCCGCGTAGAGCTCGCAAAATGCCCGGCAGCGGCTGCGGCCCCCGTGGGCGCGCTGGCACGGCTGTCCGCGCGGCGTGGCCTGTGGGGCAGCGCGAGGGGGCTCGGGCGCTGGGCGCCCGTGCACGGCGCCAGCCCGAGGGGGCCTCCGCCGCGCGAAGGCGCCGACCCTGGCAAGGCGCGCGGCCGCCCCGCCAGGCAGGAGGCCAGCGGCCAACCCACAGGGTGCGGGGCGCCGCACGCGAGCAGGGGGCCCCGCGGGCTCCGCGGCAAGCCCCGCGTTGGCCGACTCGATGATGGCCAGGGCCCGCGGGCAGCCACGCCGGGGATGATCAGGTAGGACATGTCCCAGGTCAGCAGCACGACTGCCGGCGTCCGTCGAGTTGCGGCCTGACTCGCAGTAGCGCTGCTTCCACTGGATCTCGCACCCGATCTGGCGGGCGGCACTGACCTGGCAGAGCTGGAGGAGGGCCCTGTCACGGGCGCGCCCCTTCTCGAAGCTGAGGAGCGCCGCCATGTCGTCGCCCAGGCTGCCGACGCGGAGGCCGTGCATGCGGGGATCGCGCGAGGCGCGGACGAGGCCGAGGAGCTGGGCCCGCGCCTCCTTCACGTGGATGGAGGCCTTGTACCTGAAGGCGCCTCGCACGATCATCTTCCAACAGCTGCGGACCAGGAGGGCGTCGTCCAGAGCTGGCACGGCGCCCTGCACGATGACGGTCCTCGTGCGAGGGAGGCGTCGGTCGATCACCGACGGCGAGGAGGAGCTGGGGGCCAGGAGGCCGGCGATGAGCAGGTCGGAGGTGGCCGTGGGCTCAGGGGCCCAGCCGCGGATCTCGTCGCTCGGGGCCCCCGGCATGACCAGCTTCTCCTCCTCCATCTTGAACCTCCAGCGCTCGCGGTACCTGAAAGCCTGCATGACCACGTAGTCGACGCAGGCCGTCTCGTGGAGGGCGCAGCCGCCGTTCCCCGCGACGGCGAAAGGCCAGCCCGCCCAGCCACGCAGCTCACCGCCCGACGCGTCGCTGCAGTAGACTACACGCGACCAGGGGGCGGCGAGGTCCACGTCGGCCAGTAGCAGCAGACCCTTCACCGCACGGAGCTCGTCCAGCAGGAGGCGGCCGAGGGGGGCCCGCTCGTCCAGGGGCTGCGCGATGAAGCGGTGCCCCTCGTCCAGCGCCGCGAGCGCTGGCCGCATGATCATGAAGCGGTTGACCAGGTGGCCGTACACGACTCGAAGGGCACGGCCAGATGCACGACGCACACGAAGCAGATGCTCCACGCCAAGGTACAGGCGCCAGGCGCGAGCCCCCGCGTGGCGAAGGCGGCGCGCAGCCGTGTCGAGCACGACGCCCACCGTGGTGCACAACTTCGCGGGCTCCACCAGGTCGTGGTAGTCGATGCCTAAGTAATCCAGAAGCCGCATTAAAGTGATCATTTGTTTTTTGGCCCCCCCTCTGTCACAGAGGGGGTCTAAGAGGCCCCCCCTCTGTCACAGAGGGGGTCTAAGATACCCCCCCCCCTCTGTCACGGAGGACC